TCTGATGATTAAGGATGTTGAGCATTTCTTTAAATGTCTTTCAGCCATTTGTAGTTCTTGTTTTGTGAATTCTCTGTTTAGCTCTTTAGCCCATTTTTTAATTGGACTGTTCAGTGCTTTGATGTCTAGTTTCTTGAGTTCTTTATATATTGTGGAGATCAATCCTCTGTCAGATGACACACAGACTCTTACATTATTTAAATTGTTTGAACATTAGCTCAGGCCTATCATTGTGTAGCTCTTACTTTTATATTCAGCCCATTTCTATTAATCTTTACTTTGCCACGTGGCTCGTGGCTTACCGGTACTTGACATCTTCCTTGTCCTGGCGGCGGCTCCAGGCAGTCTCCCCTTTCCTTCCTCCTTCCTCAACTCTCAGAAATTTTAAAGTAATTAGCATCTCTCCAAACAGTGTCCTGTACCACTGACTCCCTTTAGTGTACCTGATCCTCCACAATCAGCTTATCAAACTTAGATAAAACAGCTGCACACAAAGAGGAAATCTGGGCCGACTTCTCACGCCCGAGCATCCGGCCCGCCCACTCAGAGCAGCCTCTCCCGGCGTCTCCCTCCGCGGCTACGGAAGTGCGTCCCGGCGAAGCCGCCCCAGTGGCTCCAAACAGTGGGGCTGGACACAGGGCCGGTGGCCTAAAAGGAGTGCTGAATTTTTGCTGCACATGCTTAAGAATGCAGAGAGTAATGCTGAACTTAAGGGTCTAGATGTGGATTCTCTAGTCATTGAACACATGCAAGTGAACAAAGCACCTAAGATGCGCCGACGGACTTACAGAGCTCATGGCCGGATTAACCCATACATGAGCTCCCCCTGCCACATCGAGATGATCCTCACTGAAAAGGAACAAATTGTTCCAAAGCCAGAAGAGGAGGTTGCGCAGAAGAAGATATCCCAGAAGAAACTGAAGAAACAAAAACTTATGGCACGGGAATAAATTCCACATAAAATAAATGCAGATAAAAGTAAAAAAAAAATTGAGGAAGGAAAGGGGAGACTGCCTGGAGCCGCCGCCAGGACAAGGAAGATGTCAAGTACCGCTAAGCCACGAGTCACGTGGCAAAGTAAAGATTAATAGAAATGGGCTAAATACAAGAGTAAGAGTTAGACAATGATAGGCCTGAGCTAATGGCCAAACAGTTTAAATACTGTAAGAGTCTGTGTGTTTATTTTATAAGTGGGCTCTGGGACTGGCGGGACTTGGTGGCAGGAGCTGGAGCAGGACGGTCAGAATTTTTAAAGTAATTAGTATCTCTCCAAACAGTGTCCTGTACCACCGCCCGGCCAACTCGTTTTCTTAAACACTAATTCTGAGTCCTTGGGCCCCTGCTCCTAGGCCAGCGGTCCTGTTCTGTCTGCCCCTTCCTTGCTGGCTCATTTTCTCACCTTGTACTTCAGGTGCACAACTGGAGCCCAGAGGAGGCTATAGAAGCCATCGCCAAAATCCGCTCACACATCTCCATCAGGCCGAACCAGCTGCAAGTTCTCCAAGAGTTCCACAAGGAGATCGCTGCAAGGGCAGCCAAGAAAAACTGACGGCATCTCTCACTGACACACCAAGAATGTGAAGGCTGTGGACGACAAAGAACTTGGCTCTACCCAAGTACAAAGTTTAAAGGGCAAAGGGGCTTAAGCCAGGACAACACCCCAGATATGCTGACAATAGATAATGTGCTTCCTTTGCCTGCCTTCTCTGAAATAACACTGTCGGATGGCTACAGAGAACAAGATTGTCTGGCTAAATCTTACTTTCTTCGGCAGGGTCAAGGAAATATTAATTTTAACAGAAATCTATTGTGTATCTGATATTTTGTGTAATGGCACCATAACAAAGACGTTTAATGCTAGAAAAGCAAAGAATACTCAGATCTGTTCTTTGTTACTATCAGAATCCCAATTTCAATTGTATAACTTGGCAAAATGCTTGCCCAGCATGTATAAGGCTCCGAGTTTGGTCCCTAGCACTTCCAAAAATAAAAATAATCCTAATTTCCCTGACCCTGTGGGACTCCCCTCACACTTGTGGAGCAGTGGTCAGAATGTCAGGATGTATGGGGTGCAGGCAGGAATACCGACTCGGGAATGTCCAAGCCTGGAATCAGTTCCCCTTCAGAAGTCACCGGTTCAGGAGTCAACACAGACACACATATCGCTTCAAAAACGTTTATTTATACGAACAGTACCTAGTGCTTGATTTAGCTTAGAGTTTTTAAAAGACCAGAGATTGTATATATTTGAGTTTGGAAAACAGTTTCTGCTATTAATCAGAAATAATTGTTTCTACTTTTCTGGCTTATCTGTTTGTATAAGCCAAAAATGCAACCAAAGTGTCTTTTCCTGACAGATAGATGAGAAAACATTAGAAGGAGTATCCTGAATTCTAGTGTTGATTCTTGCTGGTGAAGTACATTTCTAGCTTAGTCTGCTGTCCCCTCCAAATCCTGGAGGAAAACTCTTAATACTTAATTCTTTGTGGAAAAGTGACAACTAGCCCTGTTGCTGGCTGTGGACAAAAAGGAATGGGCCTTTCTTCCTGCATGGGAACCAAGGTGCTTCTATTAACACTGATCTGGTAAGGGGAGGCTGTGCCTAGGTCTGAGAAGAGGCTGCTCTAAGCAGCCTGAAGTGAGGCACGGGGTCACAGGGGACAAGGGCAGAGTTCCAGCAGCCACCTGAGCAGCAGTAGTGTGAAAAGCCCTAAACAGAGCACCCCATGAGCCTGGGGATGGGCTGAGGCGCTGCCTTCCTCATGTATACCCAAACTAACACAATACTCTGAACTGGGGGATTTCAGACTTGACTGGGGATGCACAGAAAAGGGAGGGCACAGGAGTCAGCTGTTCCTCCCATCACTGTCTCTCAGGCCAACACAAATTGCAAATTGGTAAGCAGCACCTTAATGCCTCTTGTGACAGTTACAGCTGAAGTAGCAGGGTCGAGCTTATAGGTGTTGGCATCTCCCTTCTTATATCGATCCCTGAAGACGTAGATGCTTCCATTACAGCTAGCAATCTTCCAGAGGGATGGGGCAGAGCTCCAGGCCTCAGGAAGACAGAGCCGGGTGAAGCTGTCTAAAAGGGGATTATAGCACACCAGAGAGTCCCCCTCAGCCACAATGAACACCAGATCTTTATGCACAGCTGCATGCATGCGGCCTGCAAAGGGCAGTACATAGGGCTTCACGTGACACTTGTCAGTCTCTGTGTCAAAGCACTGGATAAGTCGGGAAGGTTTGGTAAAGAAGTCTAGATCATTCTCCTCGCCCCCTAGTAAGTAGATGATTCCATTGAGGTTGGCACCAGCAGCCCCAGATACAGCCACCTCTAACTGAGTTGTCTCTGTCCACACGTTATCACCTACCCGATAGTAGATGACTGCATTGGAAAGGGTATCCTGTAGTGTCTTGCCACCTAGGGAGTAGATGGCATCTTTCCCAGGCACAGATACCAGGGTATGCTGGAGGCGGTCCCGGGGCAAAGGAGCACACCACTCCCAGTCAACGGTGGCATTGTTGCATTTCCACATGCGCCGTGGTATGGACCCTCCCACTACATACAAGTCTCCACCATGCTTGCAGGCTGCAGTGATTTGGTGGCACAAGCTGTTTTGGCCACTTACACTGATGGAGTCATCTTCTGCACAGTGTAAGGACACAGCCAATGAGTGGGTACGAGATGACTCTTTCCCAATAAGGTAAATGTGCACATTCTCCCCAATTTCCTGTTGGCAAAATTGAAATTCTGACATCAGCTCATGTGAAGACTGCTAAGACAGGTATCCTCAATGGTCCGGACCTCACACTTAACATCTTGCTCCAACCTCCTCCCCTCCAGTTAGTAGGAATCACTCTGACTTTTTTCTACTTATTTTCTTCTAGGCACTTTATGCAGGGGCAGAGAATCTGTTTTGGTCATCCCTGCAATTCAGTTTATTTACATATTTATTCAAACACGATCTTGCTATGTAGCACAAACTATTAATACTTAGATTCTCCTGCTTCAGCCTTCAAGGGGAATCACAGGTATGGATCACATCTACTCACTGCTTTTTTGCTTTTCAGTGTGGGAAAAACATACAAGGCAAGTATCCTAGAAACTGAATTATATCCCAGGTCATCCCCTGCTTTTTTTTTCCTTTTTGGATTTTTTGAGACAGGGCTTCTCTGTGTAGCTTTGGCTGTCCTGGATCTCCCTCTGTAGACCAGGCTGGCCTCAGAGATCTGCCTGACTCTGCCTTCCCAGTGCTGGGATTAAAGGCGTGTGCCACTGCTACTTGGCATTTTTTTTTTAATTGTTTTTTTTTTTGAGATAGGGTTTCTCTGTGTAGTTTTGGTGCCTGTCCTGGATCTCGCTCTGTAGACCAGGCTCCATCTCCTGCTTTTTTGATGTTGCTGTTATTTTGTTTTTTGATTTTGTTTTCCAACACAGGGTTTCTTTGCTTAACTTTGGCTGTCTTAAAACTAGCTCTGTAGACCAGGCTGGTTTTGAACTCAGAGATCTGCCTGCCTTTGCCTCCCAAATTCTGGGATTAAAGGTATGTGCCACCACCACACATCTGAGACAGAGTCTTATATAGGCTATGCTGGCCTTGAACCAACTATGTAGCTGAAGTTGACCCTCTTGTCTTCGTGTCCACTTCCCATGTGTTAAGCCATCACACCTAGCTAGAACTGTTAACTCAATGAAGAAAACAGTTCTTGAAGATAGCATCAAACCAGTTGGTGGCGGCACATGCCTCTTACTCCCAGCACTCGGGAGGCAGAGGCAGGTGGATCTCTCTGCATTCAAGGCCAGTCTGGTCTACAAATTGAATACCAGAACCAATAAGGCCGTTAACACTGAGAAACCCTGTCTGGAAAAAACAAAACAACAACAGCAAAAGAAGACAGTGTTAGAGAAGACATTAAAAGCTCCACAAGCTTCAAAGCTCATAGACTAATGGCTTCTGGGATCAGAAAACACATCCGACTACCCAGTTCTTACTGACTTCAAGTTGGTGACTAATCAGTAGCTATCAAAAGAGGCTAGGTCAGAGACTTGGAAAATGGCTTGGGTGGGTAAGGGCACTATCGATATAAGCATAAGGATCTGAGTTTGGTCCTTGTGGCCCACATATGGAAGGAGAGAACTGACCCCTGCATGTTGTCCTCTGACCCCCACACATACACCAAGAGACACACATTCCCTGCCAAAAGGAAGACAGACAAAGGTAAAAGGCCCCCGAGGGCTGGAGTGCACAGAGATTATAGCACCCCAATCCTTAAGAAATGTGCCTCACCTTCAAGCTAGTCCTGAGTGACTCTGCAAAAGTCTCTCTTTCTTCTTTATTAAAATTGATCCAGGCTTCTATTGCCTCTGTTGGGTTCTGGGAACATGGAACACCATCTGTGAGAGCCAAAGGAAAAGCATGGTCATTAACAATATTACTGGGTTTTGTTTTGTTTTTATAATTATGTGCATTGGTGTTTTGCCTGCATGTATGTCTGTGTGAGGGTGTCAGAAACCCTGGAACTGGAGTTAGAGACAGTTGTGAGCTGCCATGTGGGTGCTGGAAATTGAACTTGGGTCCTCTGGAAGAGCAGCCAGTGCTCTTAACCACTGAGCCATCTGTCCAGCTCATGTTTTCTTGTTTGTTTTTTCTAGACAGGGTCTCAAAAAAAACAAAAATAAAAATATTAAAAAATATTTTACATGTATGGATATTTTGCCTGCACATGTCTGTGCACCACATGCATGTCTGGTGCCCATGACCATCAGAAGATAGCATCAGATACCCAGGAACTGGAGTTACTGATGGTTATAAGCCACCGTGTAGATTCTGGGAATTGAACCATGGTCCTCTGTAAGAATAACAAGTGCTCTTAACCGCTGAGCCATCTATCCAGCCTCATCAATGACAGTCTTTTTTTTTTTTTTTTTGTTTTTTTGAGACAGGGTTTCTCTGTGTAGCTTTGGAGCCTGTCCTGGAACTCGCTCTGTAGCCTAGGCTGGCCTCAATGACAATCTTAATGGGCTCTCAAGAGGAACCACAGCTGGGAGTAGTAGCGAATGCCTTTGATCCTGGCAGTTGGGAGGCAGAGGCAGACAGATCCCTGTGAGTTCAAGGCCAGCCTGGTCTACATGTCGAGTTAAAGCACAGCTATGGCTATGTAAAGAGACCCTGTCTCAAAAAAAAAAAAAAAAAAGACAAGCCGCTTTATTAGCCCACCATTCTATGTACTCGATTATGCATGTATATGAAGTTAACTTGAAATTGCCCCACCACTAACACTGTGCAGTGCTGGGGTCAAACCTAGGATCTCAAGTACACCAAGGAAGTGCTCTATGACCGAGTTACACCACTAACCCTGCCTTGCTTTTTAAAAAGAAAAGTCGATGGCATAATATGCTCTCATATGCCACAGAAGTCACCTACCAGGCTATAGAGTGTATGCCTAAAATATAGTTCCACCTCACTTGCAGGGGCAGAATTGTTATGTAAAGTTACTACCCAAATGTTTCCCATTTTACATAGCTTGATTCATCATCTCCATCAATTTGTTTTAGTAAATAGTCCTGTAGGCCTTCATGGTATAGGGCAGATGAAAACATCAGGCACGTCTCACTTCCTCTTGTGGGAAAATGATAGCGTTTTACACTTTAGCTACTTCTGTAAGGCACTCTGTCTGACAGCAGGTACACTGAACCTCAACCTCATTCTAAATCTCTACCAGAAATGATAATGTAAACCAACAACGGTTAGTTACATAAACTTGAGAGTTCTCCTGAGCCAGACTATCCACTGAAAATCATTCTTGATCAGCTGGGCATGATAAGCCCCTCCATGAACTTACCTGAGATGATATCAGTGAGTAGGTGGTGGGGCAGGTGGAGAAACTCCTCTGTGCTCTGCAGCTGGGCCAGGTGGGTCTTGGCACAGTGCTTGGCAGCGGTGTAGAGCTCAGGGTCACTGTGCCTGTCTGCCAGCCACATCACCTGAAGGCAGTTCCCCACTTGTAC